AGCTTGTTCTAAGTAGGTGCTTTAGACCACTGAGCCATCTCACCAGCCCTGATGCCCTTCATTTTCCATCAGTGTATTACCTGCAGATGCAGAGTTAAATGCTGGAAGCACACTGATGCTACTTCAGTGGTATATGCCTACTGTACAGATCTAACTTGGAGAGGGTTTTCTTACATCTTTCTAGGCAGCTGCAGGACCTGGAAATAAATGATATTTTACTCATAGATCAAAAATCCTTAAAATTTGGCAGTAAACAGTCTGGGCACTAAGAGATTGGAATCTGCTTCACCAGTGTATCTTTAGCATGGGAGACTCACTCAAGTTCTGTTCTTGGCAGGCAATTAACAAGATCAAGGAGATCGCTGTAACTGTGAAGAAGCAAGATAAAGTGTAAGTGTGCAGTGAGCTTTGTCAGAACCTTGATTTCCTGTGTCCAGTTTGGATTGAGAGAAGCAAATTGCAGTCCCGGTATGGGTCTCCATCGATTTGGCTTTCATCAGACCCTGTAACCCAGCCCATACAGTATAAGGGAGGCCATTGAAAAGCTGTCACCTATGATGTCTTTGACTGCAGCCACCATCTGTCACTGATTATCTGTGGTAAAGATCCAGAAGGTGATGTTGGAGAGAGCTTTTAGTGACTAGAAGGGAATGACCTCTGAGGCGGCAGGATGAGGTAAGAAGGCTTTGGCTTTCAAGACCTGAATCTGGTTCTGTGTTATGTCCCAGGGAGCAGAGGAAGCTGCTGGAGAAGTGTGCCATGACAGCTCTGAGCTCCAAGCTGATCTCCCAGCAGAAAGCCTTCTTTGCTAAGATGGTGGTTGATGCTGTCATGATGCTTGATGATTTGCTGCAGCTTAAAATGATTGGAATCAAGAAGGTACAGGGTGGAGCCCTAGAGGTAAGCCAGCCGCGCTTTTTATAGATAGCTTCTGCTTGCACATTGGCTCTTCAGATAGCTTGATATGGGCAGGAGGCACAGAGAGAGAAAATATGCGCTGCAGAGAAAGTCAGACTTGAGAGGTGTACTTCCCCATGCCGCCACTACGTGGCGTGACTGTTGGTTAGTTTTGTAACTTCAGTGTGCAGTAGAATAAGAATTGACTGGGTGATTCTTCAGAATTTTGGTTCTCTGTGTCAGTGTTTGATGTGAGGCTAGTTCAGAAAAACTACAACCCTCCCAGTTACTAATCTTCTGAGTCCATTCTTAAGCCCCAGGGATATAGTCACGTTCTCCCTTGTATTCATTTATCTTAGAAAGATGATACACAGTTGAAACTGTGAAAGCCCCCTCCCCAAAGTGTCCCTTATACTATGCCCATATGTGGGCACTGTTACAAGTTTGTGGGTGTGTAGATGCTGTGTTTTTAGATACAAGTAGTTCTTATTATACTTAGTATTCTGTAACAAACTACAGTCCATTTAATATCAGGCTGTAGCAGTAAATTCATGTCAGCACGTGCAGTTCAGGACTGTCCAGTATGCTAGCTTAGAACTTTAAGTTGTCCAGTATTGTAGCCCTAACTCATGTCACCCGAGCACCTGAAATGTATTTAATGCATCTAAGGAGCTGTATTTACTTACATATATATTTTTTATTTTCTATTTGTTGTTTTGGTTCTGTGGATTGAACCCAGGGTCTTGTGTGTGCTAGGTAAATAAGTACTCTGTTTGGAGAAATCCCTTTTCTAAAATACAATTTGAGAGAGTTTTGCTAAGTTGCATAGACTTGCTTCACTTTTGATCTTCTCACCTTCACCTCCCAAGTAACTGAGATTGTAAGCATGTGCCACATGCCTAGATTAAAACTAATAATCTTACCTGGTAGCAAAGCCAGGGACACTAAGCCACCTTTGTATTTTTCCCTGTTTGTCCCACATTCATTAGATCCATGTAAGACTTAACATAAAAACTCACCCAGAATTTAAAACATGGTGATAATGATTTGTATGTCCTACTAACTTACAATGATTTTTCTTTCTCCCCTCCTCTTCCTTTTCTTTTTTTCACCCTTTCTTTCTCTGTTTTTCTTACATGTATGTGTGTTTGTGGGGTACTGGGGATTAAACCCAGGGAACACTGAAATACATCCCTATCCTTTTTAAATTTTTGAGACTTTTTTTTTTTTTAATGTATTTAGCATAGTGTCTCACTACAGAGATCGGACTCGTAGTGATCCTTACTGTTTTTCAGCCTCCCAAGCATCGGGATTACAGGTGCATGCCACACCACCATGCCCAATCTCAATTGCTGTCTCACTGTGCCCTGAAGGTGGGGCTGGCACACCAGGCTGGGCATTAAACCCATGGCCCCTGTGTCTGCCTAAGCAGGCACTTTAATCTGCTGAGCTATCCGGCAGGCCTTGAGACAGGGTTTTGATAAATTGCCCAGATTAGCCTTAAACTTAGGATCTTTTTGTTTCAACCTCTGGGAAAGCTGTTATTACAGGCATGTGCTATTATGCCCAGCCCTGCTTATTTCTTTAATTTGTCTCTTACTCATTCTCAGGACTCTTGTCATACTTTCTTCAGTCTTGCATCCCCTAAGTTTATTCTTTGTGCTACAGAGAAAAGTTTCCAACTTTTACTGCTTTGTGTGAAGCTCAGCAATTGAGACTGGGCATGGTGGTGTGGCACACGCCTGTAATCCCAGTGCGTGGGAAGCTGAAAAACAGGATTACTACGAGTCCAATCTCTGTAGTGGGACCCTATAGACCCTGTGCTAAATACATTAAAAAATTTTTTTCAAAAATCCTGTCTCAAACATTTCAAAAGGCTTGGGATGTATTTCAGTGCCCCCTGGGTTTGATCCCCAGTGCCCCACAAGCCCAGTGGGGTTCCATATGGCCTGTACCACAGAAGCTACTAGGCTTTAGCCTTATCTTAGCCTATAGTCGCACGACCATCTCTCTCTGTCTTCTTGCTCCTTCTTTGCTGATCCTTCTTTCTATTTTATATTCTAGCAACTTCAAAAATGTACTCATTTTTTAATTCTATGCAGCACTGACCCCTCACTTCATGGGAACACTTCTTTTTTTCTGTTTAGTTTCTTCTCGTCTATCATGATTCCTCTTGGGTATTACCCTTTGCAGGGCACTGGATTCGAATGACTCAGGAACTGGAGGTAGACTATTCCCTAAGAAGCTACAGTGTGGGGCTGGTGAGATGGCTCAGTGGTCTAAAGCAGCTACTTAGAACAAGCTTAGCAAAGCCCAGGGACCACGGTTCAATCCCCCAGCACCACATGCCAGCCAGCCCGCCCCCTGGTGGGCTGAGCTGGCCACACACACACACACACACACACACACACACACACAAATAAATAAAATTTAGAAAAAAAAAAAAAAGAACATTTAAAAAAAAAAAAAAGCTGCAGTGTTATAGATGAGCACTGGCAGACAACCCAAAAATCAATAAACAGATTACTCCTTTCATGGATTGGGAGTGACTGTTCACTAAGAGACCTGTGACTTGAACCTGTCTTGGGATCAGCTAAAGTCATTTTCTGAGTTCAGCCTTCCTGTTTATGTCTGCTGCTTCATCCAGCCTGTTACAGCTATAGTAATTAGTATGTGAAAAGCCATGGTGACAACTGTAAAGGATTCCCGATTTACTTTCATTACTGGGGATTGAACCTAAGACCTTCACTCTGAGTTATATCCCCAGAGTTTTTATCTTGAGACAGGGTCTCACTAAGTTGCTTTGGTAGGCTTGAACCTGCAATTCAGTTGTTCTGGCTTGGTTTTCCAGAATTCTGGGATCACACCCAGCTAGAATTTCTAATTTTTATTTTGTACATTTGCAGTTTTTTTGTTTTTTTTTTTTTAATGATAGCAGAGTTTTATTACAGGTAGGACAAGAAACAGGCTCTACAGAACAAGCTTGGGCCAGGTAAAGGTAGAAAAAGTACACGCTACAGTGTGATAGTGGGCCACCATGCAAGAGAACACGGTGGTCGTGCTGGCAGTACTTACCGATTGCTATCACATTCGTCATGGGGAGTTGGTACATGTATAGCATGCATCTGAATTCTTTGTACGTCCTCTTCCCCTTTTTTCTCTCACTTTTTACCATCTCTTCATCTCTTTCCCATTTGCAAAATATTTTATGTTCCTGTTTCCTATTATCTGTCTTTCATTTTGCTCTTTGTTTATACTTTGGGTTTCTCATAAAAGAGAAACCATGTGATATTTATACTTATATGTTAGGTTTATTTTACTTAGTCCTCTGGCCTCGAGGTGCATTTATTTTCCTAGGGATGACTCATCCTTTATATCAGAGTACTACTCCATTTTAATA